CAGGGACAGAGCGGGGACAGGGAGGGGACAGGGACAGGGACAGAGCAGGGACAGGGACAGGGACAGAGCGGGGACAGGGACAGAGCGGGGACAGGGACAGGGCGGGGCCCAGGAAGCGGTATCGCTGGAGCAGAATCAGAGCCTCTTGTTCGCATGGAAAAGGCTTCAGCCAGACTTGGGGGAGGTCACAGGGATTACAAACTGCAGAACTTGTGCCGCTGGGAGGGCCTGCACTAACTGGCCCCCTTTTAAAAATGTTTTTATTGGTTTTTAGAGAGAGAGGAAGGGAGAGGGAGCGAGAGAGAGAAACATCAATGACGAGAGAGGATCATCATGGATCGGCTGCCTCCTGCACGGCCCACACTGTGGATCCAGCCCGCAACCCAGGCCTGTGCCCTGACCAGGAATCGAACCGTGACCTCCTGGTTCACATGTTGATGCTCATCCAGGGAGTCTTGCTGGCTGGTCCGTTAAATATTTACAACACGGCTTTCCTACGTGGAATCGAGACGGCATGCCACCGTAGTCTGTTTACTAAGAGTGTGAGAAATACCAAAGAATGACAAGTCGCTACTGAAAAAGGCAGGCAGACGCCAGTACGGGGAGGGCGTCGCACTGCGCAGGGCGCCAGCGCGGAGCTTCCGACGTGACCGAGAGTGTCCCATGCAGGCGAGACGGGACGCCAGTAGTTTTGTGCTAACATACATGGGAGATCGGATTCTAACCTGACAGGTCATGGCCGTCCTTTGTCGAGTGTGTGTGAGGGGGATGGAGATTATTCTGACAAATGGTTTTCCTGATGGTTCTAAAACCAGCTCCTGAAGATAACTCCCTAACAAGAGTTGTTTTCAAAAACAGTCACAGTGGTGACTTTGAAAAATAGGAGTTATTGAAATGTTCCTTTTTTGCAGAAGAATAAGTGGGTGTGACTAGTTAAATGTTAAAATATATGCATGGGAGGTCTTTTGTTAAGAATTCGGGAATATGAGATAAACGTCTCTAGGATGTCCCCCCAAAAATGTGTACGCACACTTTGAAAAATTACAAAGGCGTTGTTTACTGAAATACGTTTCCTTTTGGGCCCGGCCTGTGTAGCTCAGTGGTTGAGCCTTGACCTAGGAACCCGGGTCCGATTCCCCGTCAGGGCACAGGCCCGGGGTGCGGGCTCCATCCCCAGGTGGGGGGTGAACAGGAGGCAGCCGACCCATGATTCTCCCTCATCGTTGATGTTTCTGTCTCTCCCTTCCTCTCTGAAATCAATGAAAATATGCTTAAAAACCAAGAAAAATACATTGCATTTTCACAGTTGAGCTCTCAGCTGCTGGCGCGTGTACACTTTTGGGGGGACCCTGTATTTGGGGCGCCCACAGGCAGCGGCTGCTGGCGGACGTTCGCTGGCCTGGGGTCTTCAGCGCAGGTTTCTCACTCAGCCCTCGGGGCTCCTGGAGGCTCAGTTGAATCGGCCTGTTTTCTCATCTAATCTGCAGCCCCCGCCGGGTCCAGCACCCGCTGCTCAGCAACTCGCCCCCCTCCTTGCACCATGGACACCCCTACGCGTTGCCGGGTGTCCCCTCCTTAGACGGAGGGGTTCGGAATGCATCTCACCTTCATTTCACACGCGGCGGCTTCCTCGCCCGCACAGTGACGGATGGGGCAGATGCACTTGTCGAAATGTGCACTTCACCCGATTTTTCAAGGGCAGGAGCCGTGAGGGTGCCGTGGAGGAAAATGCCAGAAAATTGGATGATAATGATTTTGCTCCGGGTCAGAAATTTTCTCAGCACATGTCACCGCGGATTCGCGAAGTCATTAAAACAAAGGGAAAACCAGGGCGCGGGTGGCGAGCAAACAGCCAGAACTCATCCCGTGGTATCGTCCCCGTGGTATCGTCCCCGTGGTATCGTTCCCGTGGTATCGTCCCCGCGTCGGGAGCAGCCTGTCTCTCCGGGGGATGTGACAGTCCCGGTGTCCGGGTGACCTGGGGCCCCGGGAGGCCGCCCTCCTCAGTGCTGGTGCAGGCCTCCCCCCTGCACCCCCCCCCCGGGCCTCCCACACCGACCCCCCCGCCAGCCTGTGATTCAGAGCATCTTCCCATCCGAGTCCTGAATGTTAACCACCTTCAAAGGCCTTTTGCCGTGGAGGTGCCGTCCCAGGACAGGGAGTAGGACGTGCACTCGGGGTGGGGCATTACATGATAACGGGGTTACGGTAACGCCGTGTGAGGGCACGGCAAATGGATGGATGAGCGGGGGGGACGGGGGGGGGGGCCCGGAACCCGTCCAGGGCCAGCACGGATGCAGCGCAGACAGACAGAAGCCTGGGACGGGCCCACTGCTCCTAGGCCCTCGAAGCTAAGCCTCGTCACGGGTTCACGTTCATGAGGTGACACCGAATTCAGGCGCGGCTGCCAGGCAAGACTTTCCTGAGGAGCCCCGTCTGTGGCCGGGTCTGGGCTCCCCGCCTGTGGCCGTTAACCCGTCCAGGGCCAGCACGGATGCAGCGCAGACAGACAGAAGCCTGGGACGGGCCCACTGCTCCTAGGCCCTCGAAGCTAAGCCTCGTCACGGGTTCACGTTCATGAGGTGACACCGAATTCAGGCGCGGCTGCCAGGCAAGACTTTCCTGAGGAGCCCCGTCTGTGGCCGGGTCTGGGCTCCCCGCCTGTGGCCGTTCCCTCGGGAAGCCCAGACCCGACCCCTTTAGCAGGAGGCTGTGGGTGCCTGAGGCCCGGCGCCTCGAGGGGGAGCCAGAACAGTCCCGCCGAGTGCAGGCAGGACCCCCTCCGCCCCTTCCCT